ACAGTGCTGGATTCTTCAGCAAGCAACTACCTAAAATTGCTAGTTCTGGACCATGTTTCTAACCGCAGCATGCCCTCATGCACTCATTTCTTTGTAAGATCTGATATGGTTATTGCCTGCAGCAGAAACGTAAAAGAACAGACGTTTTGTTACTAACATTGCTCGAGCGGAAAAGAAATAGTGCCTGTTAATGCCTCAAGTCTACATGTGCCTTTTCTTAGACATATTCATAGTGAATCACAATGAGCTTATACTGGGGGGAAGGAGGTGGGGATAAGCAGTAATATGATCACAGTGACCTTGCTGGATGTGTTTGAGGAAGAAGTTCTTTTTTGAGACTGTAGCAGAAAATGTCTTGTACTGACTGAGGAAACCGGTGTATGTAATGCTGCAGTGCTTTCGAAACATGCCAGCAAAGGCAAATTTGCGCCCAGCTTTTATTGTGGTATGATTCATTTCATTACTGTGAAAAGCTAGAGGCTGATAAAAGACTTAGTGCCATTTGCTCACTGTATGATCAAATTCGTATTTTATTTCTGTGATTTCATGCTAGTCCTTGTCATGCAGAAGGCGATCTTGACAGCATGTCTATATTTTGAAGGGGTTGTCCTAAGTCACTAGTCAGCCGGAGAAATGTGAACTGCCACATCTCCAAGAGCTGAAAATAGTGAAATGAAACAATTCTGGCAGACACTGTGGCAGTGAGTGTTTCACCACAAAACTCACTTGCTGTGGGGGTTTTGCTTTGTAATTTAATCAATGCAGAACTAACGGCACCATCAATATCGATCAGGCTGTGAAGGCTTTGCACTATAGCACTGTGACTCCCAGGTTGCTTTCCATTAGCCTGTATGCATAATAATGAATGTCAGCACCTCCATGGCTTGGCAGGTTCACAGGGGAAGCCCAGCAGTGCACCATAAGGGCCTAAGCAAAGATATTTTATAGGAATTTAGATTTTTTTTTAGGTACAAACAATTGGAGCAATCTAACTCACAGGTCAGCAGTTCTTGCATCAGCCAAACAGCATATTTGACAGCTTTGCAGATGACACGGGCTATTTGTGAAAGCCTGCTTGACCCAGGGGGCCATTAGCAAGATCTATAGGCAGAATAGCCCCTCCCTCTGCCTGAAAGTGCTTCTAGTGCCCTGGGTTGACCTGTCACACTTGAATCTCTTGTATCTTCTAATGTTGTGGAAGAATTCACCCACATAACACTCCCAGCACTTTCTGGCTAATAAACGTCTCCTTGTTTGTGCTGTTGCACAGAATATGACCCTTTGTGACTAGCTCAGACCTCCTTTTGTGCGTGAGGAGAGAGCCTGAGGATAAAAATAAAACTGGTTTCACCTTTTTGTGCCATTTACTCCTTGAAAACAGAGGGAGATAGTTGTGCCCACCAGTTCTCAGTGCAGTCACCCTTCAGAGTAAGATGCAGCTTAACCTCAGGTTTGCATTTGTATTGTAACTGCACTGAAGTAGATGAACAAAAGAGTCTCACATGTGCCTTTGAGAGATCAAGGTACCTTTTGTGATGCAAGCGGCTGATCTAACGCAAGTTACACACCCTAGGGGTTAGGCAGCTCCTCTTTATCCCGTAAACACCCATCATTTCCTCAAATGTCAGTACCTAAATGTTGTTCTTTTTAGGCAGACAAACAGAATTTCATGGTTTTAGGCTTGTCCCTTATCTAGCACTCACCCCAGGTAATTTCCACACTGCAAGGGAGGGAGTTGAGAGCAAGTTCAGAAAAGTCAAGCCCCTTCATCCTGTCGTGATGCAGCCCTAGTGCCAGCTGAAGCTGCCCACAGATGGGGTTCACAGGGTCTGGGGAAGGCCAGGTTGACATAGCTACTTCAGAGAGGGCCTGAGCCTCCTGTGCCAGCCCATGGGAATGAGGTCTTGGGTTCTCAATGATCCTAAGGCTGTTCATACCATAGGTGATGAAGGGCAAGGTAGACACCAGCCAGTAATGGCTTTGACAGCGTAGATAATCTGGGGTTAGGAGTGGTGATATCTGGAAAGCCTTAAATCCAAGTACAGAACTGATTTGATTTGTAACTGCTCAGCACACCATTTCACAGATAGAGAGACTTCAGGTAGGATTCTTTAAACACTGATGGAAGGAAGTTCTTCAAGGCAGGGATTGCTTCATGTTTTCCTAAAGGAGGGCTATAATACACTGGGGGCTTAGTTAGGACATAAGATTATACCTACACACATTTTCAGTCTAGCTTTCCCACTGAGGCTGCATGAGTGGAATTTGAGTCCTAGAAAAGCTGAAGGGTTTACCTAACAGGAAAACTATTGCAGGACTTAAAGTCTAGGGTGGTCATCTGATTAATGTGTTTTGACAGTTACTAGGTCTTGTTGGCCTTCTTGTGCGGTGCTATTTCTGTAATTAATGGGCAAGGACTTTCTAATGCTCCTCAGTGCTGCCCAAGCGGTGCCAATACACTTGAAGCACACAAAACAATCACCAAAAGAGCTGGAACAGGGCTGCCAAAGATAAGGAACGAAGACTGTACATGGTTTAATTTACCCAGTTGTTGACACAAACTTGGCTTGGTTAAAGTAAGTGAAGCCAATTGTATAGAAGTGTCAGTAATTGACTTTACATTTGAAGAATGTAATTCCAGTTTGAGAACAAGTGATTTTACAAACACTGAAGTGTTGGATGGCATGAAGCAAGAACAACCATGGACTCATTTTGTACCTAAATATGTTATATATAGATTAGAGAGCTAACATAGAGAAGCTTCCTAGAGGAAATGCTATTTATAGGAACCTTGAGACTGTTAAGCCTTAGAATGTGCAGGTCTAACTTTTTGACTAGCCAACATGAATTACATATCCTATAGAAAAGCACAGTTCTATAAAGGTAACTTACTCACATTTCTCCTGGGGAGAAAGTCAATTAACCATGTAACAGCTTTTTCCAAAAATGGAAGCAGTTCTTGAAATGCATCAAATGAGTGAAGCAGAAGGGGAAATGAAAGATGAGCCTAAAAGATACCAAAGCTGACTGCAATTAATTCCATAGCAGATTTTCATATATAAAATTTGGGAAATGCATTTGAGGTTCTATTTTCTTCCCCTTATGTAAGAACATTGGAAAACTTTAATTGGATCCTCCCCTGTGATGTTCAATGACGCAAATACTGAGTGAAAAAAAACCTAAAGTAAGATATATTTTTAATGTCAGTATGTAATTAATATACAACATAACTCAGACTTAATTGCTATAAAAGCAAAATAGTTTTGCTCACTGATCTATACGCATAAAACCCAGATTTCCAAAGACATTATACTCACAGAAAATACATGGATTCCGAGAGAAATAAATTGGTCAGGTGGTAAAAGGCGCCAGAACTGCAATTTCCTTCTTAACCAATTCTGCAGTGTACTTTGTCTTGCTCCTTTCATTGTCAGCAAGAGGATAAAAAAGGCTTTTCTGTCTTGGTTCTTACTGGTCTCAGCCACCTCTGATTCTCAGTTCTCATTGTCATATAGTATTTAAGCAACACCCCCCCAAAACTGTGGCAGAATGTGCAAATTCTGCCCCTTGCCTGACCCACAAATACTTCGTGCCAAGGGTCCTGGACACCAAAACCAAGGATGTCAATGGTATAATTTGCACACTAGTTTTGAAATAGCCAAATTTCACTTAAAACATCTCAGCATTCCAGTTGTACCATAGGGTTCAAATACAGAAAAATCTCTTAAAAATCTGGTGAGATGCCTGATTCAGTCTTCTGAAAACACAGTGAATCTGTGTAATGTGTATTCCACTAGTGCAATCCAGCCTCCTTTTAAACGATGCCGGTAATAGCATCTTCTCTCCTCTGAGAGTTTTTTCTCTGTTCTATTAAATCTCCATACTGGAATGCTCCTCTTCAGATGCTCTGCTTTTGTCTACCAAGTTATGCAAACATACAGTCCTCCAGCAGTAAACATCTGCAACAAAGACAGAACTGGCAAATCCAGTTTTGTGTTAAAACAGGCAAATCAGACATACTGCAGCTCTTGGTTCATTCTGATAGAAAAAACCTTGGAAAATCAGCTGCATATGACCACTGATGAAAAATGAATCAGATTAGATTTTCCTGTAGAGAAGAAAAGGGAAACACTCAAAAGAAAAAAGAATATATTCAACTGATGTCTAAAAATAATCAAATATTAAAGATTCCTGCAAGAATTTAATCTTTGTGTTAGATTTCTGACAGAGGCATTGAGGAGAACTACTTTATGATGAGAACAAACCAAGAGTATCTTTCTATGTGTTGAAGTTACCGCTGTAACTCCAGTTTATGAACATTTTGGGAACAGTTGGATTAGTCACCAAATAAAAAATTCAGTCTAAATGTACTTACATAGCACGTTTGCTTGAAAGAATAGCTTCCACCCCAAATCTTTTTCCTCTTGGCTAGCTTTCAGAACTGAATCAAGGATACTCTTTCTCAAGTATCATCTTTTTCATTGTCAACAAACCAAGACTGGTAGCACAAAAAAACTCTAAATAGACAACATGAGGCCATTGGTGGTTCATGCTCTGAGATATGAGTTCTTTTATTAGACCTTTACCTTCTGTGATGTTTTAAGAGTTGCTGCAGGTTCTTAAAAATGAGTAAGAATTGTCCTATTCTGAACTGTCAGCAGTTTGGAAATTTAAAACATTCAGGACATGTCTCAAGAAATTCAGTTGTTCTCTTTGATCCTAGCTTAAAGGGCCTGTTAGAAGTTTTAGAGCTATGTAGTTTCTTACACAGTTCCAATTATTATGACACTTCAGCTTTATTCTGTGAATGTACAATAATGTAGAAAACTCCTTGGAATTCCCTCATCAGCTATATGCTATTTAAAAATACATGTATTGGTTTTATATCAACATCCTCAACCACATTCAGCACTCCATTTATACCCTTAAGTTTAGTAATTCACAGAGCTTAAGCTTCACAGATTCCTACCAATAAATCCTCAAATGCATGCATAGCTTGATTTAAGAAAGATATTTTACTTGTGTTTCATACACAAAAAACTGATAATCAACAGTGGCTTAAAAAATTAACACTACTCCACTTTTCCACAAGTGTACAAAAAAGAAATAATGAATTTACATTCAATGGTAAAGCTTAATGTCCACTCTAATAATAGTTGCATTGACATTCACATACACAAGCACAGAATAAATATTTCAGGATTCTTGTAAGAGCATACAGCATACATACAGTACTTGAATTTTACATAATGAGTGTTAATAGGGTCAGAAATTCATAATCTCATAGAAAAGTTAAACTAAAGTCAGAAAAGGTTGTGTAGGAGGTAACACGAAGGTACTGCACAAAGCTAGCAAGTTAGTAATTCCGTTTGTGTGAGGAGTTTGCTTCTGCTTCTTTATATTAGGACAGTTTGTTTGCAAAGGTGTATTCAAAGTGCAGATCAATGCAATAAAAAATAAAAAAGAACAGAGAAAAGATATTCTTGTATTTATTAATACATGCAAGAGGCAGCCCCCAAGTCACCCGACAGAATAAAGCTGTTATTGGCAAGTGGCCGATACAATACAGATGTTTCAGGCAATTTTTCTAAAGCACTTTAATAGCAGCAATTGTAACTTATAATGGCTCTAGACTGACTTCTGTTTGGGTTAAAGGGCATCATATTTCTTCAACATTTACAGCTATATTTCTTTATAAATAAATATCTCAACAAATAGCATAGTTAACATTTTTTTTTCTCTCTTTTGCATAAGTGTCATGGAAAAACTCTGACCTTTTCAGAGACATAATGTGCAAAATCATGTTAGAGTGGAAATAGGGACACAGAGCTTCACAGTCAGTTACATTCCTGGGATGTCAGCCCAGCCCTTCTTACACTCTGAGGGCTAGCCATGCCAGGGTAATGCAAGGCTTCAAGGGACAATTGTCCCAATGGCTTCCTTGATAAGAGATAAAATTTATGGTATCTTAAAGAGCTGTAAATGTGAGGTTTTATTTGCAGGGGTGTGTATAATACTTCATGTATAGGACTCAGTATTTCCACACAGTGACTTCTCAAGATTCGAAAAGTCTGGTCATCTCCTTTCAGATATTTCCTCCCCAGCCTGAACATCTTTGAACATTTGTGTTCATTAGGTGTTTCCTCTGTTGCGTATTTATCAGCTCTTCTTGCATTTTATAATCTGATCTCATATAACCTAGCTGACATCTGCACACAAATATTTTCAATCAGATAGAGGGTGCACAACATTAAAACTTTTAAACCTGTCCTGTAAGTGTCATCAAGACAGGAGCACAGGAACCACAGTGCAGAGTCCAACCTCTCACTGGCTGTACTGTGAAGATTCTCCTTTTCGGCGTAGGAGAAAGGAAACTTGTGTCTGCTTTTTAGATTCTGAAAACAAGCCAGAGTGGAGAAAAAGAGTTAACACCAGACTTAATAAAGCTTTTAAGACAAAACCTGTTAAGCAATTTAGACATTCCTGCTGATTTTCTCAAGTCTGTACATACAGGAAATTTGTTAACAGTAGGAAGAAGTTGGGAGTTGCTACATAGGAGAAATACGCCATTATTACAAAAACTGGCTAAATGGTTTATTTCAGTATAAACCCCTCACTGGTCACTGTTCTCAGTGGTGCTGTTGCCCTTTTCTTTTTTCTCCTGAGTCTTGTTCCCCTTCTTCTTTTTCTTCTTTTTCTTGGTCTCTTCCTTCTTGCCAAAGGTTATGAAGTCACTTTTGTCAATTTGGCTGTTTGGTGGCTCCTGCCGGATGGAGATGATTGCAGGAGATCCTGGGATAATGAATTTGTCTGGCAACTCACCAGGACCACCTTGTTTGGAACTGCCCGGTCCAAATCTAAAGGTCCAGCTGTTGCTGTTCACACCAGCTCCCACTGGGGGGGACACCTCTCCTGCCTCAGGTTCTGAAAAAGTCAAAACAGCAAGAAAACCTTAAAGCATCATTAAATACCAGCACTTGGTGAGTATCAGCTTCCTTTTTGAAAGCTATGGCTTTAGCCTGGTTTTAGCCAACTCTTGGTTGCCTGGCTACTCATCTGGGTCTTCTTGACTAGTTCTTGTCCAGGCAGCTCAATGCTAGTATGCCGTGACTCACTCCACATACTGCTGGGCCCAACACATTCTAGATCCCAAATTGTGCCTTGAAATACAGTTGTTTTCTATTTTTCTTTTGACTTTGAAGTGCATGGAGTAAGATTGCTGGGATGCAGCCCACTGTAGTGTTTTATAGCGTGAGACACACACATGTGTGCAAGGGTCTGTTTGAGGATGTCAAATTTGTGGCAAGCTGCCAAGAATGTCTCAGAAGTAAATCATAGTGCAATGAGTTCTGAAATTGGGAAAGTCTCCCCTATTACATTTCTTTTTTCTTATTGTAATATCATAACATAAAGGCTGAAAAACACCAGACTGGTGACTAACTATTGATTCTTTGAATTAATATGGTAGAATGGTAGATCACAGTATTTTATACACGCAAATCTAAAGTGAAGTCTGTCCCCAGCTTTAGGCTTGCAGTATGAAGCAAGTTTTAATTTTACTCCCACAATTTTGACAAAACTAAGCTAATCAGATTGAAATATTTACGTATGTTGTCCTGACAAGGATAATTTCCTAGCATACTGAGATGCAACACAAATTAGGTTCCTCTATGAGAGAAAGTCTTAGAACCTGGTTGTTTTCTTTCTTCTTAAACTTTGAAAATTCATTTTACATATTTTGAAAATTGAGAATTCAGTTTACATAGCTCCCAATTTTAAATACAAATGGCAATACATTTTGAAGTATTTCAAGTGTTTGAAGACTTGTGATTATGCACTGACGCTAAAGCCATCAAATCTGATGAAAATGCTCTTACCTACACTCTAAAAAGTGCAGCATCACAAACAGAGGACCTGTCACACTAGTAACACTCCTACTCACACACAAATTCTTGCAATACCACACAAACAGTGCCAGTACCACTGATCTGATTAAGTCTCAGCATCGTGTATTCTGCATCAGAGCTTTCCAGTTGAATAGGTAAAGATGTTCGGGGTAGAGAATGAGATGGGATCTGCATTGCAACAAGGAAAGGTTAAAAAAACAGCTGAGAGGGACTCTGTATCCCTTGGAAAAGTAGGCAAGAGCACAGAAAGGAGAAGTCCTGGGTCTCCAACATTTTGCCAGACCAGAAGATGGGATCCAGTAAACCTCAGCGACTGACTTCTCTGTACCCCTGTAGTAGTAATGGAGAATCCTGCATTTACTTTAGCAGACATACCATGAAATGAGCAGCATTTCCTGTGCTACTTATTCTTTTATGATTCTTCATCTTCTCTAATGTTGTTCATATATTTTATTTCATAACATAGAAAATAGTACATCATGTTTGCAGACATAAAGCTGTCTTGGTTCAAAAGCTAAAGAACACTTTCTGCTGCTTGACAATCCCTCTCTTGCCTGGCAGCAAAATAAATACCACTGGAAAGCATGATTCCTTTTTAAGCTTTTCCATACTTACACACTACATCCATGTTACAGAGCCAAATAAATGTGTATACATGACACATCAGAACTGTCCCTGAGACCATCTGTCTATGTTTGGCACATAGAATCTTTGGAAAGGAGGTGATATGACTTCACAATGTGACGTTCAATCATGACTTAGAAGAGCCTGTACACTTCTTTTTCCCCTAAGGCTGCTAACTGCTGAAGTTGTTTTAGTGACCTTAATATCCCTAGTTTCAAATACCTTTTTTGACATTATTATTAATGCAGAAGTTCCTCTACTTTACCATTTGCAGCTTTTCTGTAGATTTCCTACAGTCTTAACTATTACTTTCAGAATTTTTACATGTTCGTTGTTGGAAATGGCAATGTCCTAGCAAACCCTTTCATACTAAATGCATTAATATGAACCAGTTTTCATTTCTGCATAATAAAATATTTTGGTCAGGTACCTCTTATACTACTTTTGTTCCCTTGAGATGATAAATTACAAAGGTGAATATTGTGTGTCTTGGCCTTTTACCAAATTATTAATCAATTATCTTTCTCCAGCAATACAAAAATGTCATCTTTCATATTGTACATAATAATTTAAGCCTTATTTGACAAGTAAATCCTTTCTCTTTCCCAACAAGCCCATGCAACATTCATTCTAAACAACACTGGCCCAGACCCGGTGCTCTTTTCCTGTTCCTGGCAGAAAAAAAACAGTTGAAGGTGACCTCAAATAATTCTTGCTCTGGTTGGGGAGAGCCCTGTAGCAGTGAATAGTCCAAAACCTGCTTGGAAGTGTACAGGATTTCAGCCCTCCATGGACCACAGTGTCACCACAGAAGAGCTGAAACAACACGGCTGAAGACAGGACATCAGACAATGATGGTGAATTTATATTATCCACTTTATCACACAAATACAGTAACATGCAAGAATAGAGGGTATCCTTAAGGTACAGTATCTCTTGCCTGAAAACTCTTGCCAGTTTAACAGGGTGCACATCCATGTCTGCATTATGGAAATCTAATTCAGAACAGGATACTGACCCTTTAATCTGGTTCTGCAAAGACAAATCCACTCCCCAGATGAAGTCAGCAACATTTGTCATAAAGCCATTTGACAGAATGTATCCAAATGCAACAAATGCATCATATCTACTGTGGAATCAGGATTCTATCAATTTAAAGACTAAGGGGGTTTTGCTTAGATTTCTGTGGGGTTTTCTCCCAGACCCTGAGAATGTTTGTTTCCATACAAACTAAGCATTTTAATACTCTTTAATACTCACTAAGGCAAAGGAAACTAATTATCCTTACAACTGTGTGGAGAGCTCGCATACGAAAAGGCAGACAGAACTTAATGAGTGAATAGTGATCATTTCCTATGAGTGGGCCTTTAACAGACCCCTCAGGAAATTTCCTTCTGTGTGATTTACCTGATAACATGTGTGTTTATCTGTATTGGCAGGCTGGAAGGTCACCATTCAGCTGTACTAACAATGTTGTATGTTTGGGCATTTCAGATCAAGAATAAATGTCACTTACCACCTAGTTTCCAAAGCTTCCTTAACCATCTCTTCTCAGGAATTTAACAACAGAAACCTTCCACTGAGATGCTGTTTTCCATTAATAGGATTAGTTGTACTTCTCTTACATATTTTCTGTGTCTTATTGAATGCTTTAAACCTGTTTATTAAACTTAGAGGAAAATCTAAATAAAGCTAACACACAAGCTATATTTATAGCATTTGATTTAAAACATTACACTTCTATTCCTATAGCTACACAGCAGGGTTTTGCCACAGTTCCTACATATAAGCACAAAGTCTGGCCATTTCCTGGTATAACTCAAAGGGTTACTTTGGAGACTACCCCTTCGCTTTATTCTCAAGAAATACAGCAGTTCATGTTCAATGACCAAATGATTTAGTTTTAAAATGAATGCATGCAGCAGAACCCAAAATCTAGGCTGCACCTGCAGCTTCTGATGCTTCTCCGCCTGTGTGTCTGTGTGCTAAAATGGGAGACGAACTCTTCACCCCTTCCATTTCCTCCTACTCTCACCAAAATACAAGTGTCTCAGTAGACTTTAAATGGAACCTAGAGCAACAGAGGCTCTGCAGTTGAGTAGATCATGTACTTAGTTGGGAGGAAAGGACTTCTAGGCTGTCTTTCAAAATACTTCTTTTTCTGTCTTGTGACTGTTGTCTGAAATACACAGGCAGATTTACATGCCACAAACCTCCACATCCTAAAATCACCTATCCAAAAGCTTGAAGCAGTAGGATATGGTGCCTAGCTACTTTTTTCCTTTTCCATATGCATTTATGGGTCATACTCTGTAGCCCTCTACCTCACAGGACTTAAAAACCATAAATATCTCAGTCAATAGGCACTTGTTCAACAAGTCCTAATTGCTCTGGAAGTACCTGATTTCCTACACATTGTCAGATGGAAAGTATCATGTGGATGTTACAGGCTCCAAGATCCCAGAAAAGAGCAGATTACAGGTAAGCTGTGTCACCTTGCTGAGCACTGAACTTCTCCCTTGCATGCTCCAGATAGTCCTGATTTCAGCACACAGGTTTTCAGAGGTACCTAACTCTCCCCCATGCTCAGTGCTGGCAGCCCAGGCACCTACTACAAGGAACAGCGTCCCTAAAATTTAGCTTGTAGTAGCTGTGAGCACCTGAATTTCTTTTTCTTATATGTCAGCCACACAGTAAGGTAGCCCTTTGCTAAATTCAGCTATCAAAGAAGTAGGCATCCACTCTGAACTGTCTAATTTAGTTCCTGTTACAGTCTGTAAAGAGAGACAGAAGGCAGTTCAACCCACTCAGCTTAAAAGCCTGGTTTTAGACGCAGTGAGTTGTCTCTCCCTTCTCTGCTGGAGCTGGATTACCTTTGCTTCTTTACCCATAGATAAAACCCAGACAGCCAATTTAAACTAACCACTTTTGCATGGCTAGTCCAAAAGGAGCTGATTTCCACTCTCAGGAGCAAGCTAAGCAGCATCATGACTTGGGGGATGTTGTATTAATGACCATGTCAGAGTATGTAAAAAAAGAGAAGTTTGAAACTAATCTCTTTAACAGTGACAGCCACAAAAATCCTGTGCAACCATTTGCAAGATGAAGCCACTTTCTCAGCCCTAACCCCTTCAGAGGATTTTCATTTAGGTAGGCATTTACATCTCCTGTTCAGAAATACCTGAGAAAGCTTAACTGTATCGTTAAGGTCCCACCATTTCCACCCCTTAAAAGGCTACATTCGAGTTGTGACAGCAGTGACACCAGTACAGTTTAGGTCTTCAGTGATACTCTGCTGCAAAACTCTAAAGCACAGGTCTGCCGCTGAGATTCACAGCACTGTCTTTTCAGATGCAGCATTTGCAAATTCACTCAGTTGAAGGGTCAGCTTTC